TGACAAAACAGCTGTCTTCTACTGAACACGTTTTCCAAACAAATACAACATGCTAATGTTATTAGCACAAGCCTATGGTATTTTACATTGTTTAAATTAGCCCAGCGACTAGCGGACTTTTCCTCCACTCATATGAAGCCAGTAACAACAGTAACATTTAATAAAGGTAACATTGCAAAATTTGACTCCATTACAACTCACAAGGTTCACTGACAAAACACTTGTCTTCTACTGAACACATTTTCCAAACAAATACAACATGCTAACATTATTAGCACAAGCCTATGGCGTTTTACATTGTATAAATTAGCCCAGCAGCTAGCGGACTTTTCCTCCACTCATAGGAAGCCAGGGACAACACCAACATTTAATAAATGTAACAGTACAAAATTTGGCTCCATTACAACTCACAAGGTTCAGTGACAAAACAGCTGTCTTACTAAATTAATTTATTGTTTCTTATCTGTGAAATTAAAGTAAATAAAAGCTTTGCTTCCACTGAGGGAAATGGTTTCAGCTTACAAAAATAGACAGGAAGTCTGTGTCACCACAAAGTGTAGTTTCATTTCTGGGGAGGTGCACTTCAGGCTATGGCATAAGGTATGGCGTAGGCTTGCTCTAACTGTCAACCCAGTCACCAGAAGAAAATATTGGAATTGTACGTTTCTGCAAACCACTGATACGTTACATTTGTACGTTTTATAGTATCATATCAACGTTTCTAAAGTGATGTTTTTCTGATGGCATGTGTATGAGCTGACTTTGTCATCAGGAGGTAGAGAGGATGGTGGAAGGTGTGACACCTAGGTGAGACAGCTGCAGACCACTGTTCAAGACAACTAAACATTTTTTTTTCCAGTAGCTATTATTTTGCCAAAACTGGCTATTTTTTCACCAAGACATTGTTTCTTTTACAGCCATGATTGTGGCACCTAAACCAGGTATTTTAGGCCCAAACATCATCTCTTTCTAACCATAACCAAGTAGTTTTTGTGCCTTAACAGAACCACATTGTTGTAGAAATGTAAGATGTCAACATATCCATTAAATAAATGTACAAATGTAATACATCCGTGGTTTGCATTTATTCTGGCAATTACATTGTAACTGTTCTTTGTAGGCTCCTAACAGATTTTGACAAATGTCCATGCACAATGGCCTTTAAAACTCAGGGTTACCTCACACAGTATTTTCTCATCTCTCACATAAATTTTAAGGACACATTTTCCGCCCTATGTTCAGTGAGCAACAGAAATATTATTGTTTCTTTTTTCTTTAGCCTTAATATAGACAAAGTGTGTTTGTGTGTTTCTTTCTGAAGTTGCAGATGGCACATTCTCTCAACTGGCACATAAAGTTTCATTGGCTGGCAATACTTTTTTATTGGTCCGGACCCAGGCTTCACAAGAGAGTATCAAAACATATAAATCCTCGCTGATCTCCTCCAGTATGCTTTCAATGTCTTCTTATTTTTAGCTTTGTGTCTGACGATGTTTAGGATGAGCCCGCAGATGGCCTTAAAACGCTTATAAACCCTCTCTTGTTGATCTTATACCAGTGGTAGTCAGATAGTGTTTGTGTGTGTGCGCATGTGGTTCTGTGGGAGCATGCCTGTGTGCATGCTCATCCCTCCCCTCTTCCTGGGCTTTGTTAGGCCAGGTGTGCCTATTCTCAGTGCAGTGCCCGGGGAGCCGTGAGAACGCAATCGCCGGCCCTTCTCTCCCTCCTCTATCTGATTTATTTCAGCCTCTATGGCATTTTAGCAAACAAAAGTACCGCTCAATATTGATCTGGATCTCTCCCATTTCCCCACTCCGCTCCCTTTGTTTTGCTCAGGTCTAGGGTGGCTGCTTTAAATCAAGCCCTCTTGACGTTTGCTTAATGTCTAATTAGGCATGGGTGGGCATGGCCTTTGATTATAGGAAGTGCCTGGAGGTGGGGCTGCAAAGACGACTGAATTTTGACAAAACACCCCAGACTGATCAATCATTGCCTGACACATTGTTTTGTCCTTAATTTCAGAGTGCTCGGTTTAGGGATATGTCCTCTTGGTCACCTTATTCTGAGTTCAAATGATGCGATTTCCTCTCACCAGCCCATGTGCCACTTTTCCAGGGCCATGATGCGTGTCTCTAGATCCACTTACACTGACTCCAGGGTGTGCTGCAATCGACTCATCAATCTGGGGTGCACTGAGTTGATACAGATTGCTAAACCTCATTATCAGTGTTGCAATTGTTTTTAATTTATCCAATTTTAACAAATATAACCTTCAATAATGAGCACACTGCCTGCCAATATCTGTGTCTGCAAATTTGGAGAAAAAATGTGAGTAGTTAGGTAAACTGTTTTTATAGATACGTGCCTCAAACCTTTTTTTTTTTTTTTTTTTTTTTTTTTAGGTTTTATGGTCTTAAAAGGACCTTCATGGGTTTTGTATCTTTAAGAGGTTTGGATACAGAGCCTTAAAAATAAAGCTTTCTCACTCCTGCCCTACCAGCCTTCAAGGCTTCTCCCTCTATCCTAAACACTGGCCAGATGGCCGGAAAGTTGACTTTATTTAAATCTGGTAATAACGGCTCTTTTCCAACCCCCCCCCACAACGCCCTGCTCCCACCACCACCACCACTCCTCCGCCTCTCTATCTTCTCTCTGAAGATCACGGCGGTGGTGTGCCAGCGGGTAACAGCCTCAGCTTAGAGTGGACATGTGAGAATGACACAGTGATGACATGCTCCTGCGGAAGGGATTAGAGAGTCTGACGCTCACAGAGTGAGAAGGGAAAGAAGTGAAACATTGAAAACAACAATTGATTCACTCATGGCAGAGTAATGAAGAGAGATGCGTTTTCTGCACAAGAATTCAAATGCACACACTTTGCTCATGATAGCTGAAATTCTATCCAGTGTGAAGAAGTAAACATCTTTGAAACTGTGCAGAACATCTGAAACAGAGGCAAACCCTAGCATCACCTAGCAACCTTTTAAAGCCACTATTAGCCGACTGTGCTACTGTCTGTTACACATCATTACTGCACCTGCTTCTTCTTGTCCATTTAAACCGTCACCCCACCTGCAGCCCACACTTGAGTAGGTACCTTTCATCTAGCCATCCTCCTTCGAGCGAGACCCCACACTGACAGAGTAATGTCTCTTATTAAAGCCATCATTAAAATGAGGGTCATGGGTCAGCCAGCAGGCCACAGGACATCAGGCTATCATTAAGGCTAATTGTGAGCTTGTGATCATCCTCTTTCCTCTAAAAAATGCTGTTTAGTATTTCATACCCCACACTCCCTTTTATCTTTACACATTCAGCATCTTTGAAATTGGAAATTGTTGATACAAGAATGCTTGAAGAGATCTGCTACGTAAAGTAGAGCGTCCAAATTTACAACAAAGCCTCTGACATCACTGCTGTGTGCCATGAGACCCTCTTGTGCTCTGCGTCTATCCCAGTTCTTCCTGTGTCACCCTTTCAATACTCCCCACCTTAGCAGGTCTGTCTTTTAAGCGACCCCTTTTCTGAAAAGAGAGAAGCCCACTTCAGTAGTCGTCCACTGTGTGGCCATCTGAGAAGGAAACTGAATATAAATCCCTAACAATGGGCAGGGTGCTGGGGGAATAGGCCGAAACGGCCATTTAGCAGGTGCACCTTCGTGGCCTCCACACAGTTCCCACACATATCACCGAGACCGGTGGCCTGCCCTAGAGAGTACCCCTGAATCACCATCCAAGATCAAGTAGCGATCAATTAATGGGAGAACAAGGCGTCCGCTGGGGGGATGTCCAGTGTCCCACCCTCCCCTGCTTTGACTCATAGAAGTGCCCATTTGCAATTCTATCTGTGTGGCTGCTCCATGTCAATGCGTGAGGGGGCTGGGGGGACGGAGATATTATCGGGGTGACTGTGAGAACCGGCACTGGCATTTTCACTGGGCCGACCTTTGTTTGCGTGAGCGAGGGCCGATTGGCGGCGCTGTGATGAGGTCACCTGGCAAAGCAGCAGGGGGTCCCGTATCTATTATTCACCTGAAACACAGGGATGAGAACTGGGCTCTGCGGCTTTGTGAACGCACGCTAGACAGGTGACTCCATGAAGGTTTTCAAGTCACACTACATGGGAAATAATTAATATTTCCCTCTTACATAACATCAGTTCCACACATGCAGCCTGCTATTTGGACTTGAGGTCGTATTTGACATTCCTTCCCTATCTGTTCAAAAGAAAAACATGTTTGCTCATGGGTGACTGCGAGTGATATGCCAGCATTGATCAGTGAGTGTGACTCTGCTAATTGCATTCTTGTCCATAAGCAAACAGACTTAATCCTGGGCACTGATAAAGTCATGAAGGCAAACCATACCAGGAACACACTGTCTGCTAGGTTAAATTAATGCTGCACTGATATACTTAACAACCGATAACTCATGAGGCTTAATCTGATACACACTGCTGATACAGTGTACCTTACTAAAGTATAGCTTGGGTCCATACCTGTAGGTTTTGCAGTTTGCTCCCAGAACACATGCTGACAAGCATGTGTCCATATTGTGGTTTTTTTTTTTTATAAGGCTGGGAATGTGGTAAAAGGGTATTCATAGCTTTTCCAACTCTAGCAGCTCCCCAGTGGCAGTATAGCCACCTCTGAAAGCCCCAGCAGTGAATAAAGCTGTAAGTTAAAAACAGCCTTATATAACTTCACGCCCTCAAATATCATTGGAACATTTTTTTCTGGTCACCTTTAGGTAACCAGTGAGCCTCATTAATGCAATGATTGATGGCTAAACTGTTCTCTTAAGGATATTTTTTTAAAGACAGGGAGTAAAATCACAGTGATTCTACCCATACACAACACTGTGAGACGCTGTGGCTAATTTTATTATCTAAGAGCAACACATATTTCTTGGCATTCACGGCAAAGTGAGGAGCCCATAATTTTGAGTAACCTCCTCACCTAGCTGATCAAATGGCTCCTTTCTTTTCTCCTTTCCCCACAGAGTGACGGACAACTAACCTGCAATTACTGCGACCAGACAACCCCAACAAACTAGCCTGTAATCACCACTATCAACCAAAGCGGGATGGGGGGGTGAAAGAGTCCTGAGAGGAACCTGGTCTGCCCCCGCCCCCTGTTTGCCCACCACCCCCTGAGACCAAAGGAGGGTTGCGAAAGGTATCCTGCATCAGTAAACAAGGGAGGTCTTCAGGTCTTTAGGGGGCTTCCCTCTGTTTTCCATTGAATCAAATTAGGGTAGGAGCTCACACAAGCTCTGCCCATGGCTGTTATGACAGCAAGGTAGATACTCTTTCAAACCACCTGTGACACTGAGCCCAAACACCCTTTTAACCTGAGGTCACATCCACTGTACCACACAGAAACCATGGCACAAGATCAGCCTCTTTTAAACAGTTTAAACAGTAAATATAGTTGAATTTAAACTAATCATAGTCCTGAATACTATCCAAGTGCACTGACCTTTGTTTTTCCCTTGAGATCTAATTTAGTGCATGTCAGATATTTTATCTAAGATACATGTTGTGCATTCACAGAACACCACCCAACAGCACACCGCAAGCATTAATCCATAGATAGATCTTTACGGTCATGTGCCTAATATATTTAGCTCTCTGTTTTTCTTTGGGGAGCAAACTTGATTTCTCGGTTCATTTAAATTTATAAGAGTCAAAGCAAATGGAAATATACATATATGTACTTTTTTGGAAAGGGCAGTTTTATGGCAACAAAAACAGAATCTGTGGTCTCAACAGTCCAGGTTTGATGCAAACGCCTGTGGAACCTTTTATGCAACCTGGCGTCCAGGAGATTTATAAAAATATTTTGCTTTCCACCCTTTTGAGCCTTTTAGCCCTTGCTAAAGGAAAAGTGCTAGCTCCAAAAAACCACACAGAAGAACGAAAAATCCACAGGGTCAAATGTCCTGAGTGGGCCGTTTGCCAGGTCTGTTCCACAAGCAGGATGCTCACACACAGACTGGCTCCAGCCTCCCAATCCTGCAGAAACATATGAAAACAGAAACAAATCCCACCACGAGGGCCAGCACCAGTGGTCCATGAGAATATAAGAGGCTGTTTTAGTGCAGGAACACCGTAGATCGCCCAAGAAGATTAGCCTCTGTGCTACAGGGCCTCGTGTAAATCTCCTTCTAATTGGCAAGGGAATTTGATTTGACTCATGCACTGTGAGAGGCCAGTGCTCATTATTGCTGCCCAGTTAATGCATAAACAGAGGTCTCAGCAGGTCCCCACTAAGTGGTACCAATGATCAGATAGCAGCCTCTTGGTCTGAGAGGCTGCCTTTACAGAAGTTAATTGTTCTTATTGCAATGAGCTCAATCTGTCAACTTTTAGAAACAATTTGATGCTAAATGAGGTCACGGTTAATTCCCCCAGAAAGCATTATATTTGAATGAAGGTCAGTGACATGGAGGGTCAACAAAATGATTTCCAAAATGAAATAACATATATAACATAGACTCTCAGCAATTTCAATTAAAACAAAAACAGAGGTGTAAAGGTGTCACTTTTAGTGTTACACATGCATTCAAATGTATCTACATTATTAGTTCTACAGTTATCTAATGAGTATGTTCACCAAACCAAGGTGAGACACCCGAGGTGAAAACATATTTTCATGCACAGGTCAATTTTGAGATTCTGGGCTATATTGCACATGTCAACTTTTAGACCAATGGGAAAAAAAGCATTCAAAATACAAATGTAGGTGTTTGTGTTAGTTCAGATTTCTGTTCTGGAATTGAATGCAAAAAAAAAAAATGCATAATTAATTGGATAATGCCTAATTTGCATATTTAATCATAAGATTTTTGAAAAACTGTAATACAATTTTTTTTATTATTTTTGGCCTTAATGTGAGCAATCAACTGGGAATTTTCATGATGATATTTCTACCTATATTAATTTAATTTAATTTAATTTAATTTAATTTAATTTAATTTAATTTAATTTAATTTTATTTTATTTTATTTTATTTTATTTTATTTTTACTAAGGGGTTTGTTTATATATCATTCATAGCCCGATATATAATTATATAAGCTTTTATTTCTAAAAAGGTGATTTTTATTTTTTTTATGGCTGTTGACAGTATTTCTGCTTATTTATGGAGTGATAAAAGGAGATATCTAAAATCCCCTCTTTAAAAAGCTTTTACTCTAACATGTTAACAAAATGAAAAAAAGTATTTTGAAATCTGGCTTTATCCAATGTTCAGATTTTTTCTGGAAATGTATGCAAGTCAGTACATATTCATTTAGATAATAACAGAAAAAATTGTAAAAAAAAGAAAATTTATTATTATATTATCAGTTATTACAGCTATTATCAATTAGGAAAGTTCATCTGTTTATTTTTCATATTTATATATTTTTTAAAAATCCCTGTTCACCTGAGGTGTGTCCCCTCAAAGTTTAGAATATTTTTCTCTCTTTCCCTCTCCCTCCATTTGCACACTCACTCCTGGGGTTAACAAATTAAAATGAATGATTATAATTATATTTTGAATGAGAATATATTACTTTTTTCTTTCTGCATGAAATGGTTGAGAATTTTAGACAACATGATTATCTTGAATTGGATGAAAAAAAAAACATCCTGAGCAACTTCCTGCCAGTCTTAAGCTGAGAGAGTTTTATCAGCGGGATGAGTGGGAGTGCTTTTGTTCCTATCTGTCCACCTGCAGTGGGCAAAACAGATCCCTCAGTGCTCTCCGTGTGATTATGGGTACTTTCAAAGAACAAGAGTTAAGATTGGTTACTAATTTGACAACATTGAGGCCAGTAAGTAGCATGACACAGCAGGGCCCAGCCCTCTGGTTACCAGCTATCATGCTGTGTCTGCCCCCAGGAAACAGTTAAGGGTCACAAGGGAAGACGTAGGCAGCTCCTGTGAGACTGCAGCGGAGCCAACCACCCACCCTTGGGCTCCGTGGGGATGCAGGGACGAGGGCACAACAATCCAGGATCCATTAAAGTGTGACTGATGCCATTCTTTTTGGGTCTTATGACTGGATATATGGCAGCCGGGGGATAACTGGCTTATAATGTGGGACAGACAGACCCACAGCAGGCTGCTAGCGATCCAGATCCTGGCCCTCAGACACTGACCTCACAGTGGAGTCGACACCACTGCCAAATTAATTTTTCCATTTCACTAATGGGTGATCTCAGTGTATACCAATAACATATTTAATATGACAGCTTGTCAGGATAGCGAATGAAAGTCCAACTTGGAAGCTCAATCAAATATCGACACACCCTGCTGTGAGCTGAAAGGTATTCTGTTATGAGTTTATTTTGTGTGTGTGCAAGTGTGTGTGTGTGTGTGTTACATTCCTGAATACATTATCTGGAATTAACTGTTCCTAAGTACCATGTAGAGCATTACAACATGCAATTTATTTTAATAGTGTAAACAAACAGGATTTGCTGGAGCTGCTGCTTGTGGCATGACCAGCTCACGATTAAATCTGTAACAGTGGGTGGTATATCCTACCTTTCATCACCAGCCAATATTCTACGTCTGGCCCCAGATTTGGCCTAAGATGACGGGTGACAGGAATCAGGATAAGACTTGCTGACCAGTAGACTGAGGACAATGTCTTGTAAAGCCCAAGGACCTATTGGGAACCAAACTCTTGCTGTCTCCTTGTGGGAAAAAACACATTTGAATATAACTGCTTATGCTATTATTTATTAATTGAAATTAAGAGTGTTAGCATTGTTTATGTACATGTCACTATGTCTTACATGAACAAAAGTATCGTGCACTGATACTGTAAATCTTCGTCTCACCATAAAGCATTAACTTTTATAGTACAATGAAATTCATTATATGATGCAGCACTAAATTAACCGCCTATTATACCCTGACGTCTTTACTTTTATGAGAATTCCTCCCAGCAGGATCACAACCCAGGGATCTGCTTAAGCAGCTATATGGTCTCATCCTTGTAAGCCCTGATAAAGGGGTTTCCCTCCACAAATCCTGTTTAAGCCAAACTGCGCTGAGTCGCCCCAGATGATCATTTCAAGCCCAGAGGAAGCCGACAGGTCTGCTCCATCCCCAGACAGTCAGCAGCAGTATCTGTTTAATGGTTAATGTCCCCACCTGTGGTGTCCCTGTGTGAACCAATTGCTAAGGTTCTGGTCAAATATTGAGTGGTTGGCTGGTGGGAAGAGCTGCTCCAGGCTATGGCTGCTACACGGGGCTGTGATCCCTTTCACGAGAGGTGTGGCACCCCACTGATGCAAGGCTAACTGGCTTTAAACTATAAAGCAGAGACCTTAATGGATTGAATATGCATCACATGAAAGTCAGCCACACTGGTGATTTATGCCACTCTCCTGTGTTGGTGCTACAGAATGAGGGGGCAATACGGGCGCATGACTTGGACTGTCTAAGAGAGACCTCTGTTGAGATAGCTCTGATACTTGCAGGAGTAACTCTAGTAGTCTGATCACATCATTAGGCGTTGACCCTCCTGACCCCAGACTCTGGGAGACTGAGCTGTAACCAAGGGAACTGATGCAATGATGAGAACCTGAGGGGGACCCGGTCTGAGAGCTGAAGCCACTGGTGTAGATAATGCTAATGAACAGTCATGCAGTGAAACAAAATGGCTTAATTGTACTGGATTCATCTCGTGCTGAGCCACAAAGGCTAGGGGGAGGTTACGCTTCCAAACGTAGATTATTGTAATCCTCCAGTAATTACTGAGCCACATCTTCTCATGGGAGCAGTGGGGCACATGAGAGGAGTGGACTCTGCATTGTTATTCGTTATGGCAGCCACTGATGACAAACTGCTGCAACCAAAAGCTTTCCAAAAAGCTGCACAAAACACATTTCGTGTCACTCGGACAATGTGGTCCATACAGAGCCTGCTGAGGAGATAGGCAACTGTGAAAGTCCACGTCAATGGGGCTGAAAGCGCTGACTGCTTTACGAGCCCTTGTTGTATCTCGGAAAGTTAAAGCTATAATGTGTTTTTATAATGCTAGCCCGTTCCACAATGGCCTTCATTTTAGGGCTTTTCAATGCCTTGAAAATGTTACGCTTCTATTCTCCCTCTGAAACCACAGAAAGCGCACTTGGCCGGGCCTGCCCTTTCTGGCTTTTGACAGGAAGCTCATGAT